CTCAAGATACTCAACTCAAAATACTCAACTCATGATTCTCAAGGATAAAGCAATAGTAAAAGATGCAATATATATGGAAAGTTGTACAACTGTAGATAGCAACTCAATGTATTGAAAAATACAATAATACTCAATGTGTATATAAAAATACAATATAACTCTGTGGGATTTTCTCTAACCGACAACCATCACTATGAGCCTAAGTGATGATACAACGTCTTGCCCACACTACCCATGATGGCTATATGATTTATGGCGGCTGTGAGTTATCTGAACTCTCCTCCATATCGGTGCTCAGTACTACTTCCAAAATATACTAGCTCATATGTTTAAAAACATAACTTTTCTGTGGTTTGAGATAATTACTCAAAAATCTATCTCTTAAAAGAGATGGTACTCAAATGCTCAAAACTCTTTTAGAAATCTCCAGTTTCCTCTCATCTTAAATGTGAAAACATTTACTCTTGGGAATACTTAGTTCCCATTATCATTTTACGGAAAATGAACTCAGGCATGAACTACTCAACTCAAGGACTTCATGGGTAATGTGTAATAGCCTCATGATTAGGAATGTAATCTAAAAAGGGGATTAGGAACTCAATACTCAAGACTTAGAACATGAAGATCCTACTCGTCTCAAAGGTACTCAATTGATGGAGTTCATGTGGAAGTTATGGGCATGAACGACTCGACTCAAGGGTCAAAATATCAATAAGGAACTCATGTATACGACTCTTCTCATTCTCATACTTACTTACTACTAAACTTAAGTTACAAATACAATAGTTGATCTCAAAGGATTCACAATTGAACTCAAAGACTTTCTTGAACGTCTACTCTTAACTCTTTCTTGAATTTGAATTATGAATTCAAGAGTTATCATTCATGATATGAAGGATCTCAATAACAATATAGCAATTCACTAATTTGGAATAGAGTTTTTAAAGAAACATGAACTCAAAAACTCAAAATCAACTTATCTCAAGAATACTCAAACTTAGGAAAAGTATCCTAGATTACTCTTTCTTTTTTTTTATGACAAGGGAAACCCGCAGCCACTACTACTCTTTTACTGATCTGAAAGTAGATATAGGGCGTGAGGACGAACTATTCCAACACTATGATAGCCTTACAAACCTGGAAGAACAAGGTTCTTGAAGAATCTTGGAGAAAAACTTGATTAGAAGCCTTGAAACACTACCTTGAAGGTAAACAATCAAGAAAACCTTTCTTGAGATTCTTGAATTAGTTTCTTGAAATCTCTATGGCCAAGAATTATGATTTTCAGTAGTGAAAAATGAAAATCTGATTGTTTTGAGCATTTTATTAGTTAAGAAATTCGTTTATGGTTTTCTTGGAGGTAAAAAGACAAAAACGACTCTTTTTAATATTTTCCCGTCGGCTAATTCGTAACAGCACTGTATAGGTTATTAAACTAGTCATAACTTTTTACTCAGAAATTGAATTGATGCGAAATTGGTGGAGTTGGAAAGAAGATTAAATTACCTTTAATTGGATAGGTTATGGTTCAGGTAACTCTATATATTCTAAGAGATATGGTCATTTAAAGTTGACCCAAGTAGAATCTTACATCACAACTTAATCGATAAGGAAACTTCAAGAACACTTATCAAGAACTCATCAAGAACTTAAATCCTTAAATTTCAAGAATGAAATTACATTGAATTAATCATGATTGGC